AACACTAAAGTTCAAGCTAATCCCAAAAAAACAAAACCTGAAATGTACCAGTTATCAGCTTTACCCTCTGAAAAACGAATTCGCTTTAAACCAGTATTCAAACTGGAGGCAAGCATAAGCCCAGTCTCAGAACATCCTTCCAAAGATGGGAGGGTGGGGGGGAATCTCTACCACAGATCCGATGGGAAAATAATTTCAAACCTGTTCTTTCCTCACACCATTACCTGCTCTACTGAGGCTGTGGGCGTCCCAGGCTAGACAAGACACGAGCAGTCGGGCACGATTCAAGATTTTTATTTCGATTCAGACAGTGCATATCAAAAGGAAACAGAAGTGTGCAAGGGGAATCCCACCACAACGGACTTTCCCCGATTTTCCCATCCGCACTGCCTCGGAACTTGATCAAACAAATCCTGGCTCCCGTTGGAAAAAACGTGGGTGCATCTCAGGTGAAGCTAACCGGCTCTACCTTCTGCAGGCTTGTTTCGTTTCCTAGAAGCGAGAGGCGCGCAGTGGCGCCCTGCCGCAGCGCCGGGCAAGCAGGAGGGGTTTTCCCTCCCCGAGTGTGGGAGGTGTGAAGGACAGGATGGAGGGGCCGGTGGCTCGCAGGAGGGAGGGCAGAGTGCTCATCCGGGCAGGCCGACGAGAGGGTGACCCGCTGGCCCTTCGTCCCGGCCTCGCCTCGCCTCTCCTACTTCTTCCACTCCTTCCTCTCGTAGTCCCACTTGGCGGAGAGGCCCTCCACCGGGTTGACCCGCATGTCGATCATCCTCTTGGCCTGCATGGCCTTCCATTCGTCGGTCAGGGTGTGCGGCCGGGGGGGGTACACTGGAACAGGGACAACGAGAGGGGCTGCAACACGCTCTTCTGACAAGAGGCTACGCACAAGAAGGACCCATTCAGATTATTTAGGCTGTTTGGTAGTACAATTGATCTGAGGATCCCCTCCAGCACTAAAACGGCAGCATTTCCTTTCCTTCCTAATGCATGCTCTCTTGGAGACTAGGAATCAAAGGGGCAGGGCTAGGTTTCTGAAGTTTCTGAAGAAGATTTCTGAAGAAGAACCAGCGGGTAGGAAGATCAGGACCGTTAGTCTCCCAAGCTTATCTTTCTGGGAGGCTCACAGCTTGGCTCCAGTGTTAAAAAACTGGCAAGTTCACAAGGAAGACCCAGAAATGTAAGAATTCAGAGGTGTATTACTTTCTGATCACAGGGCGGTCAAATTAACAACAGCCAAATACAGCATCACAGAAAGTTTTCACAGGGAACGGTTAAAAGCCATGTTGAGAGGCATCAGGAGTTTTAGAATATCTACAGTATTATCTAGACTTGAATTATAAGTAAACCAGATGCACACGAGTCAGTCTAGTGCTGGAGTGGCCAACCTGTTGTCCAAGCAGGTCGTTAACAGCACAGGAAGCCGACAGGGCACCGCCCTGTGATCATCTACCCAGAAGCCCGTTTCTTTCCTGGCTCTGAATGCCTGTGTTGCGCACGCAAATTGGGCGAGAGATCATTCAAACTGCCCGCACGCTGCAGTTGTCTTTGTCATCCTTGATTTCAGTGCAGGTGCACACGGCCACCGGTAACGACAAGCTCCTGCTGGAAACGTAGTCAAACGTACTTGACCGCTTTGACCCGCGCCAGGAAAGAGCGCCCAACAGCGCCGTGAGCGCAGAGGGCTGCCGGCAGACATAACCACCGAGCGGCGCTCACCAAAGACGCGCTGCCACCACACCACCAGGCTGGTAATCCCGATGAAGATGAAGACACCCCCCACCACCGTCTTCCACTCGTTCGACGGCTTCTTCATCTCCGCGTAGCTCTGCTTGAACATCATGCGGTACACTGTGGGGGAACAGGGGGACATAAAGGCGCTGTTGACCCACGGGCACAGACGAGAGGGGCCGGGTTAGATTAGCCGATCCGTGCCCACATCAACCCACATTTTTCCCTCAAAGACTGGAAGTAAGAAAAAAAAACAAATTGCAATCTGGCACGCAGTACCCGGAATGTGCAGTACTAGATAATTAATTCCTCAAGCCCATACTTACGAGCAGTAGGTTTTTTTGTGGCACACGGGTGCTCAGAGATCCCGAACCCACGCAAATGACGTGAATTGCGGATACCAGTTTTAATGGTCAAGACTCACCGCACTTGAGTTTTATTTTATAGACCCTGCATGGGGTGGAGGGTCGTGCGTGATCGTTATTATTTCTGGGGCTCCTGCACGCGAAGACGCAGGCCACGCTCGACTCTTACAGGCGATCTGCTCCTCCCGGGTGAGCTCCTTCCACGACCCTCTCTCCTTCAGCTTCAGGCTCTCCTGCGGCCCGCTCAGCTCTCGCTGGTACGGGACATCCGGCAGCGGGGTGTCCCGGCGGTCCCAGTACATGGGCAGAGACATGTCCGCCTGCTTCGCCACTCCTGCCGGACGGAGACGTGGGTTGAATTACGGCTCAGGTAAGGACACTGGGAGGCGAGAAGGTTTGTAATCCTAGCCGTAAAGCCTCCCCAAACAGATAAAACTTGATAAGGGGGGCTCTTTCCAGAGAGTACAACTACAGTCGAACCCGGGACCCACCGCGCTCACGGCCAGATCGCGCCCCCCAGTCATCCCTGCGGTCCCTGCAATTTTAAATCCCTGTATTGCAGGATAAGTCCCCACCCACGATCACTGAAAAAATAAAATAAAGCAACAGTGTATATTAGCTGAAAGTGCGGCTATTCTCAATGAAATCACACCTTCGTACAGAGCACTGCACGTTTCCAAAACGCCGCGACAAAGGACGACTCTTGAACTGCCCGTTTTCCTGTATAGGCGCGCCCCCTGGTGGAACACCGCGGCGCAGAGATGCGGCGCTAGACTCACCGTGCCCGTGACTGGCCGTCCTCACACTGCCGCGCACACCGGCCGCGGTGCCTCTCCCAGGCTCCCGACGCGCAGCAGCGACAGCTGGGACATCTGTAACGGCAGGGCGGGAGGGGGTCAGCGTGCCGTGACAGGTCGCAAACCGGGCGCGTCTGTATCATAGCGTGGGGTTCACTTCCCCGCTTGGCCCAAGGAGACGGTCCTTTTACGTCAGCAAAGCAACAGCCCAGGTTTGCAAGTTTGAAGATGGTCCATTTAAAGGAAACCCAGCTACTCTTTCCATGGCTGTACAGGCCACAGGTGCTGATGCTCATGACTTCGCGAGAAGCAGACCTTGGGCTGCGTCTCCATCTCCTGCCATTCTGATTCAAATTCTATTGAATTGCGCTTTTAAATCCATTCAAACTGCCCTGTGAAAGCTAGACTGCCTGGGAACCTTTCATCGTTTCTTGTTGGTCTGCTGTTCAGCAGGAATTTTCCCCCCCCAAAATAAAACCCTCGTCCTGTTGCTCCTGGGACTATAGAGAACACTGTTGTCGCGTATCGAAATTCTCAGCGTTTCCAAGCCTAATACATGTTCTCCAGCCCCCAACACTTGGGGAAATTATGTATTATGTATTTACATAATGGAAATTATGTATTTAAAATAAACAAACCGGAGTCCATGTTAAACTTGAGAAGCTCCTCGAGTGAGGTGTACAAACACCCGGAGTCTGATTCAGGTCCCACATGGTACAGGGCTCCACTATCCCCAGCAGAGGACCCGGCCTAGGGAGTGACCCTGCATAGGTCCGACCCCAAGAACCACCAGGATCACGTCTGTCAGGAGCAGGGAAGAACTGCACTGGGGGACTTGGACGGCCGAGCTCCAGCACAAATGAAGTACTGGTCTTGCCCTCGGATAATCCTTTCGGAAAATCCTGCAAAAACCGTCCAGGAGCTGCGGAGCGGAGCTGTCTAACACTCTGCAATGGGCCTGGCCTTGAGCCACAGCAGCGCGCGGAGGAGTGGCGACCAGGCAAGAGCACTAAAAAAAACAGCCCGGAGACCGGACCGCCACCGGACAAAACACTGGGAACTTTCTCACGAATCAGGAGCTCGCGGGCCATGAAGGAAGCAAGGAAAAGAACAACAACAACAACAAAAATGGACTGCGTTGCCCATCGCACTCTGTCCTACTTGTTTACAGAAAGAGCCTTTAACAGGCCTTTCAGAATAACGCGTCGCAGCAGAGCAGAGGGGGTTTGACACTTAACCCATATGTGGAATCGAAGGGTTTCGGTGCAGGTGGTCAAATGCACAGTACAGGACAGCTATACAGCAGTTCACCACGTGCTTAAAGCAAGTCGCATTTAAAAGCCACACTTTGCCCTGGATCGACAGACCAGCCTGCCATGTTAAATCTTAAATCTGTCTCTCAGACTCCTCAAGAGCAGCAGACAGCTTCTCTTCCACTGCTGGATCGAAGCAGTTTCCTCTAGTCTACCCTCACCGGCAAAGTGCACAGTCTCAGCACAGTGACCGTACTCACGGCTCTTGACAGAACGAGTCAGGCGTCAGAAGAACTTCGCCCTCTAACTTCTTCCCCCCTCGCTGCCCGGTTGTGCAGTTTTTCTTTCGGGTTTGGGACTCTCGGCACAAAAAGGGAAGCTCACACTGACCAAGGACTTATGGGGATGGGGGTACAGCTACATTTTCCAGTGCGATACTGTACTGGTACTGCAAGGTTTGTGCATTCAATACTGTCGATCGAGCTCCTGGTTTGTGTCCTTTGAGGACAGTTGACGTTGAAGATACAGTGGGGAGGACTGCTGTCCTGCCAGTGAGGAAGCAAAACTTTTTCCTCTCTCCCCGCTAAACAAATGGAACCCTCCAGACTGCTGGCCCCCGGCCAGGCCTGAACTCGGCAGCAGAAGTCTGGGATAGCAACCATAACTTTTGGCACAGCTGAAACCCCAGCCTCAAGCAGACTCTCCACAGGGTAAACAGCAGCAATGAGTGCAGGTTAAGTGCACACTTTAGGAAGTTCTTTCAGTGTTAAGTTTGGGCAGTGAAGCAGGTCAAGACAAATTTACTCTCCTTAAACCTTTTGATACACTTAACTCTTGGGTGCTACTCTTAGTGAACAGAACTTTGCTTCTAAATAGATCCCCCTTCTTGATCCCGTAAGCAGGACTGAGTGTTTGATTTACCTGCTGGAAACAAATCACATCACTATGCTTTGCTAGTTCTAGACGTGGGAGTTTCAGACTGAAAGCCTAGACTGGTAGCCTGTACATCTTACCTGAGCAGATCTGCTCCTGATTTTACAAACGGCTTTGAACAGAGAGAAAACACCTCAAATACCAAGCTGGGGGTGGGAGAGGTTGCAAACTGTCAGATTAATTCTTTATATTGATTGGCTAATCCCTAATTGATTTGGGTTATCCTTTAATCACTATATAAGCACTAAGCAGGGTGTTGGCGAGAGTAAAAAACTAGGGGAGATTTAAATAATTCTGTCACTATGGATTATGTCACTAAACCTGGATGTGTTTTAAAAGTGCTTTCCCATGTCCAAGACAAAAGGAGTGTTCCTGTACTGCCCAGTAATGGTCATTTAGACACCTGGTCTATGACTGTATGATCCACAGCTCTGTGTACTGTGGTTGTTTAAAAGCATGTAAATTAAGAGGCCCAGCAAACCTGATATTGTTAATGGAACTGGAAGGTCTTTGGCAGTAATTGCACATGTTTGTGCTGATGCGTTTAGATAAGCAACGGGTGTAAACCACAAACTCTACTCAGTAAAAGATTCCCCTCAGTTTTGGCAGGGGCAGCGCTGAAGTGGTAACCTCTGTTTTTTACTATTTTAAAAACATTTTCAATGACGATCAGTGAACACATCCGTTTTTCTCGCTAGTATTACAACTGTTTTTCAAGGGCATAATGAATCCTGCAGCTGTGTAGTGGGACACGGAGACCATTTTTATGCATCTGTTTTGAAATTGCAGGAGCTGGTTTTAATAGCATTTGCACTCATGATAAAACATCTCAGGGCCCCTGGGCACCTGCTGGCTCTCCTCACTCCAGATGAGCTCTCAATGACTTGATTGCTTTTCTTAATTGAACTAATTGTTTTGCCTTTTCGTGATTCTCTTGTGCCTGAATGCCAGGGGTTCCCAGTCCTGCCTGATTGGAGCTGTAATCCAACTTGCGTGTTGTTTGTTTGGAATAGCTGCAAGTTCTTGTTTTCTACTCAGAAGCAGGGGTTCTATTTCACTTCTGAAACAGAGTTGTTAAGAGGGAAACCTGCAATTTAACAGCTGAGAGCCAGACAGATATATTCAGATCCATCCTATTATTCAGTTAATTGAATTGACGATCGAAACGTGTAACGGAGAGCTGGGAACACAAACCTATAGATTAGACTACCTATAAAAGAACTAAAAAGCACCACCCGGTTTAAGAGCTGAAGTCATTTAGGATATCGAGATGTTCATAACGGGTCGATTAAAGGCTCCATCAGTAACTTGGACCTCAAACTGACAGCAGCCGGTGAGTGTGGTGGCTCCAAAGTACCAGACCTAGAAACAGAGAGACTAGAAATAGCCGTGCGAATCAGGAGGGTATAAAGTAATATTTCCGACAAGGAAAACCGGAAACTGCGAGCTCTTGGGGAGGGGTAGTATTGTCTCAGTGCCGCAAAATGGTTGTTCGCGCAGAGTGCTTGAGGGTTCTCCACTAGGGGGCAGTGGAGTCACGCCTGCAAGATTATTTTCTGCCCCAGGGCACAGGGTTGGCGTCGAAAGATCGGAGGCCCGGTACCCTACGTGATAAGGATGGGTTTCTCCACTCCTCGGGGGCTGAAGGATCCTGGTTCGTTTTTGCAATCGGAGATGATTTGGATCATAAAGCACACTGACTGAACAGCGCCTGTGAGGCCGGCTGGAGTCCGTCCCTGGGCTGTAGTGACGCTCACGATGGGAGGATAATTCCTTTGCAGTACCGTTACTGGATGCTTTCGACATTTAGGAGAATTAGCAGGGATAGGCACCTGAACTCCCCTGCCCGCTACCTCCCCGACTGTGACTGTCGTAATTAACTGCGTTAGAGAGGTGTAGTCTTCTGTTCGTTTTGTAAGTTTTAGTTGGTAGTCATGGGCTCATATTTCCAGAGGACCGGAGGCCTCTGCAACTACAGTGGATCTGCATGAACTCGCCACAAGAAAAGATCGCTTTGCTACCTGGAGTCAAACGTAATAGAGTAGGGCTGCGTCTTTTTTTTTTCGTAATCCAGGTTTCAGATTAACGGGCACTTTTAAGCCTTTTTTTTTATTGGAACAACAAAAGGAAATAACATAAAAACAAGAGTACATATAGCATATCAATAACGTCGTCAGGGGTACCTATTACAATACAAATACGCTTTATGGGAAAACGTTTCGACGGAGTAAAAGAGGATCGAAATGTTTTTACATTTCGAAAAAGTCTGCGAATAACACCTTTATATCTGTTTTGAACCGTTCAAACACAGGACTCTGCCTGAACCGTTTCGCGTGATGTGTAGAATAACGTGCGAGTAAAATAGTCAATTACAGAAGATATTTGCGTATTTAACATAACGTCTATTTCTTTCAAAATTGCATCTATAGCGCTGAGTCGTATTTAGCGCCCCAAAGTGTAGTTCGTTGTGGTTTTTCGAATAACCACTAGGTGGCAGACATGGCGTATACAATGGACGTTTTGGACCGAATACAGTGGGGTTTATCGCTACAGAGCTCCCATTTTAACAGAACCGACCATTTGCTAAATACCTGACGCTTTGGCTACTGGCGTTTATTCCGTCATCGGTATTTGTCCAGCATGACTTTTTTAATGGGGAAAAAAAACGTAAATGGTGTAAAAAGAAGAACACGGAGTTGGACAGAAAAGGGATTCGGCACGGGGAGACCGACACGGCACGAGATACCGCCCTTGCAGAAAAGAAGTAGTTGGGGGAGCCGCGTCAGCACGCGTGGGCTGCACAGGAACGAGTAAAAGGTTTATTCCCCGCTGGGAAGAGAAGAAAGGAAACGCAACGTTTCGGCTGGGGAGCCTTCTTCGGGTGTGATGGCGGAAAATAGGGCAGTCTAGTCGGAGCTCCGAAGGGTGGGTTACGAGGGAGCGAAGGCCGGAGCAGTATCGGTTTGGGGAGCAGGCAGCGATGCGCAGATGCCCGCAGGAACAATGCAGGGCCGGGGCTGTTCTGCACGGACTCCCGGGCTGTGAAGCTTGTCGGACCGTTCCCATCACGGTTTCGTGTTTTGCAATTGGCCAGTTGCACACTAGGCGGCAGCAGGTGTCTCAGTCTTGCCAGGAACAGCCCAAACAGAGACTTGCATGTCCCCCCTACATTACCCGTTCTAAAGGACTGGGGAGACCTGTACATTATTGATCAGTTAAGAAAGAAATCAAGGAAATCCAAATCCCTCAAAAGCTGAAAACGTCTCTTCCATATGAATCCTAAGACCGTACATTTTTATAGTCAACTAAACAGTTCAATTAAGTATCATTTACCAATTAGACATCAGTATTTTTAACAAATCTGAAAATCCGGTTTAGAGACCCCTCTCTAACTGCAAACACCCGTATGTCCCAGAGGTACAGGGTCTCGAAAGCCCTTCTCCAAACACAGTTGTGTGTATCTGGAGAAGGGGGGCTGTGTATATAAGAACCTGGGCTGCCATCAGCAGTGTAGCAGTTCCCCATCGCTGTGCCATGCTCTCCCTCCGTACTGGGCCACGCTGCTGCTGTCATCATGACAAAAGAGTTGGCCAAAGCTGTCCTCGCCTGAGCTGCAGAAACGGCCCAGCTGAGCTCTCTGCTGAAGCCGAGCAGAGCACAGTCCTGCTGCAGAGCGTGCTACGCGGGGAGGGGGGTTCAGTGTGAGGCAGGTCGGGACAAGTCCCCTAACATCCCCCCCCCCCTCCCTATCCCAGGAAAATTCCACAAACAATACAGAAAAAAACCCTCATCCCCGGGCCTGTTTCACAACCCTCTCTGTACGGAGCGCCGGAGGTGAGATTAAGGAGAGCTGGCCTGCGTCTCGTCGTCTGTGGAAGACTGAAACACCACAGCAGGCCGTCTGCTCCACGCTTCGGACTTTCACTCCTGGCGCTGTGTCCCACCCAGGCTGCGAGACAAGACTGCTCCTGTCTTCTTCAGTGCTTCAGAAGACTGAAATCGAAACGTGCGGCAGGAAAAACGAGGGTTGCGTGCATCGTGGGGTGGTGTGAGTACCACAGCAGGAAGCAAAAACCCACTCTTTGTAGCCTGCATTCCTTCCACCTCAATATTTCCCCCTGATCAATTGTCTTGAGCCTCGCAGGGGGATTTTTTTTGTGTTTCCTCCTTCTTTCTTTTGTGATGAATTCAAATATTCACTTTGCATATCGTTACGGTGTGAAGACAGTGAATCATCCATTTTCAACACGGCGCGAAGCCTAAATGTTTCTCTAAGTACACCCTGATGCCTGAGTGCCAGCGCTCGCACACAGAGAGTCTCCAGGTGGCACAGACTGGCCCCTCTCCCTCAGAGGGCACACATCTGGAGCCCTGGAGGGCTGGCAGGTGGCCAGAGTTCCCAAGCCTCTGTAAACCATCAGCAGTTTAACACCCGTACGAAAATAAACAAAATCCGCATGATTGTGCACATTTTCTCTGGTTTTGAAGTGTTTTTGTTTCAAAGTGTTATAGAAAACCTGCTGGATTTCAACATTTAGAGACCAGTCCTAAGTTTCAAGCTTAGATCAAAGGTTTTGAGAGCAGCAGAGGAAGAAAGTCACCTCTCTAACACAGGGGTTCCCTGTCGTGCTCCTGGGGACCTCCACACTTCCACACAATAAAAAAAGCCCAACCCTTAACAGGCCTAATAATAAGTTTAATTGGAGCTGGTTTCATTGTTTCCTAAACATGTGATAGGCGACCTTTTCACAATTATGTTCCTTCAGAAACCTAACAAACAAACTTGGTAAGGATCCAGTCCAGCAGCTTGTTGGTTCTGTTAAGGAGTCGCTGAAATAAAGAGCTCAGCTGCACTGCACCAGGGCTGAGATCCCCTGCTCTAACCTTAAGTCCAAGGCCCACTCCAGAGAGCAGCAGCTGCTCATGACCCCTGCTGTTGGCCGCTTGGCAGGAGAGCTTAGAGCGAAATGGACGTTTCAGTCCTAAAGGTCTCATTTCTAATTGACCCTCTTTCCTGCCCAAAGAAATATCACTGAGATCCTGTGAAACCCCCAGCGCTCGCGCCTCACGCAGTTGCACCAGCCAGGAAGGGCAGTACGAGGACCGGAGCTGAAGAGTTTTTAATTTTCCACAGGCTGCGGCTGTAATTAGTCACTGTTTAATCTGAGCTGACCAGCACTTTGCTCTCTGGCAAGGAATGGAAGAGGAACGTTTTTTTTCTGAAGTCGTTCCTTGGCGAGCTGTGCGCTGTGCTTGTCCCCCAGAACAGAGCCTCTTTCTATCCGGGCACCACAGCGCTTCTTCGGGAGCAGCAGGATCTTCTTCCCGATGGGGGGGGCGGGGGAGGGCCGCAGGCTGAAAGTCGGGGACCAGACCGTGCTCATCTCTGCAGCGTCGCCCTGCCGGAGACCCAGGGGAGGAGGAGGGGGGGGAGCGGGACAGAGGGTGAGGTGGGCGTTTGATTTGACATTAACAGCTGGGGTGATAATGGCGAGGGGGAAGAGACAGACACTCCTCGTCTCCCGGCGCGCCCCCCCCCGCCCCAGCTCGCCTGCCAGCACGTGCCCGACCGAACAATTCAAACAGAACGAAGCAGAAACGCTCTTTCTTTCACACCGATTCCGGCACCCATTGTCCTCTTCGCCGGGCTGAGTGGTGCGTCCATTGAACTTGAAATTAGAATTGGAGATCGGCCGCACGGCTACCATTTGTCATGGGTTTTGTCTTTCGGGGGGTGGGGGATAGAAAATAGCTGTTGACTGGTAGCTGAAGTCAATCTGTTTCCCCAGTAGAGTTTCTCGCCGCCCTCCCTCCTACCCCAGCCAGCCCTCAATCCCCCGAAACACAGCCGTTATATCTGAGCTTTCAACAAAGTGCACAGGGACTCTGTATCGGAGAGAAATATGGCTTATCAACGTTTCGGGTGTACGTTGAGAGCAAGTTTGCCCACTGTATGTTGCAAAGTGTAAATGTAAGATATAGGCAAGAAATCTGAAGAAGCTACTTTTGAAAAGGATTATGGTTTTATATGAGTAAGTCCCCTTTCCAGATGTTGTAGGGAAGCAGTTAAAAAAAAAAAAAGCAAACAAGTTATGAGGCCATACAGTTGAAAGCACAGAATGTAGATCAGGGGAAGTTATGTTAAAATCATACAATGCACGAGTGAAGATCTCATTTAGAATATTGTGGATGAATTCGGCTGCTGTGTTGCAAAATAAGCTGTGCTGCTCTGCAATCATTCTAGAGAAGAGCAACCAGGTATATTCTCTGACTTAAAGAAGAGTCCTACACCGACAGGCTAAAAAATTCTGAACTCAACTGAATCTTGAGCAGAGAAGACTAAGAGGGTAACGTGGTCCCAGTTTTCAAAATCCTCAGAGGTACTGAGAGACTCTACCTAGCGGGTAGATGGAAAAAGACACTCAATTCTTCAGAATCAACAGTAAAGCATGAACCTGAGTACACCTACAGAACCTACCATGATTTCACCAGGCTTTGCTGTAATTCACTTTGTCTTTATCATGGTGTACCAAAGTAGAATTTAATAAGGGTGTATGTACAATTAGTTAGGATCAAGCATTTAGGATATGGTTTGCCATAATCCATCATGTTTAAGAGCATCCCAGAAGTGGGTTTTGCGTTAATGTGAAGCTTTCTCCTTTCTCGTAAAGAAGAACTTTAATAAAACAAACAAGTGACAAAGCATGAGACTCGGAGATAAAACGTCCAGCATGCCCAGACACGAATACCTCCTTCACGAGTCCTGTCTGACAGCTCTGCTTTGTGTTCAAGCGCTGCAGCAGCTACTGCCGCAGAACCTGAGAAGAGAGTTTTAAGTGTTGCCTGTTTTAATGCTCCAGGATATAAGGTATGACATTTTATTCTTATCTTCAATTCACTCCCCCCCCTGCCCCCACCACCACCATTTAATTTCTTACAACATTAACTTCTTCCCTCCTGGAATCTCAGAGAAGCGTGCTGTTCAATAGTCTCAAACACATAAACAAAAACATTTGCACAGGTTCTCAAACGCTGTTTGATCATTCTGTGGCCGGCACTGCAGTGCAGTGGTTTGCATTGCTGCCTTGCAGTGTTGGGGCCCTGGGTGTAATTCTGGACCAGGGGTGCATCTGTGTGTGTGCCCTGTTGCTCCAGCTCCCCTGCGACCCTGAACTGGATAATGTGTCCAGAAACTGGATGAGCTGTTGATGATCTTGCAAAAACTGGGGACCAAAGTCTGCAGATACTGTATCTCATTCTTGAAGTCCCTTGCCTCCATTTTGTCTGGTTTTCCTTAGAATTATTACTGCTCATAGGATGAAAGAGCATTCAGAAAATGCAAAAAGGTCTTGTTGGTAAGTGAATCAAATCCAAGAGTGCAAATACGTCTGTCTGCGTTGTTCTTATAAAGATTCTCTTCTTTCACAAGATTTCATCTTGTGAAATCTTCTTATTTATTGTTGTAGTCTTCTTATTTATTGTTATTGTCATCCTGTAAAGCGCTTTGAGAAACCACCTTTAATATTCTATATTTATATATATATAAAATAAAGTTTATTATTATTATTATTATTATTATTTATTGCTTAATGTATCATGTATATTTCCAGGTACAGTATATGCAGTCTACTTGTGCTGGAATTCACATGTGTGGGGATGGGGGCATAATGATTCCAACTAAAACTGGGATCTTGAATACAGATAGTCAAATATTGGTAACAAGCTAATTACATTTTTTAATACCACAGACTGCAGGCTTCTGTGGAACAGAATACATTGAATTCTACAGGGTTTCAGACAATTTGTTTTTGTTAAAAAATACATTGCGAGTGAAACAACATGCTGATGTAGACAGATGTGTGTATTCCAAGTTGAGAGCCAAGCTTGCAAAAGCTAAACACGCAATCTGTGAACGTCATTAAGTACACCTAGAATATAACTAGGGGACCTTTGTGGTACTTTGGGTTTGTATTGGGTTTGTCTTTTTGAAGAGCTCCAGAGTGAAAATGTGCAATTTCCACTCAGGGCACAAGCACTGGGAAATGAGCGTGCCGGTGGTAATTTAATCAACACCCCCACACACAAGCACCCCCCACTGACGCCCCAGAGGCAGGGCTTCATTGTTCCTGCCAGGACTTGGCAAAACCTCTTTCACTGCAGCCTGTCCTGTGAATCACCAGCTCCTTGTCAGAGGCCATTGTTGCTGAAGAGATTAGACCTGTCTTTAATTACCTTCATAATGAGTCCACAAGATGGCTCTGTAAAATCTGACTGTATCATTGAAAGCGAAGTGACAGAACTGATCATTAATCAATCAAGTATAAACAAAGCCAAGCATTAACCTCCTAGCTATTGTCCTAACAAGTTACTTATGTAAACATCAGTAGTTCGGTTATATTGCATTTGCTGAGCTGAAGTGTTTTCTGATCGTAACTGTTAAGCATGTGAGGGGTTGCATTGATCATTAAACAGTCTTCAGCTACAGGTTTTAATATACTGTATACATAAAACATAGGTGGGTCAGAAGCCTTTAATCAAAATAAGGAGTGTGAACAGTTAATATAATAATATTAGTTTATATGCAATCTGAATTTTGACTAGATTATTAATGACAGATTTTACTAAGCGTGTGCTTTATCTAGATCAGCAGTTCAACCCTGGTCCAGGAAGAACTCTGTCTTGTCTGCCTGTTTCCATTCCAGCTGAGCTGTAAATCTCCAGTGCTAATTGCTGACTTGCTTGATAGCTTGCTGAAAGTTTGATTAAAGTTTCTTCGCTCAGCCCTGAGTATTTGAAAACTTCACTTCAAGGGTCTTGTTTCCGACTGCTTCAGCACACAGAGCTTCATGCAGCCTCTGACTAAACAGCTCTTACTGACTGCTCAATTGATTCATCACTAATCAGCTAATCGATTAAAGAGACGGGAAAGAATGACAGTCATACAGAGGTCCAGTTGATTACATTTCAGGCAATACATCTGAAATGAAGGCACTTCTGAAACTCTTTGAATTGTCTAACAGTTCCATTTTTTTCAGTCCAGTGCTCCTGTGAGAAAAGTGTCTCTGGGAGTCTTTCTGGAGTTAGTTTTCCTGGGCCTGCAGGGTTGTGCATTGCTCTTAGATGTACTGAGCAAATGTACATATACTGCATGTCCCAAACAGAAATCAATTAACCTGTGATCAAGAATTCAACTGGAGTAAAAACCGAAAGGCACAGAGAACACAGGTCTGAGAACCACTTGAATACAACTAAAAATAAAATTACTGCAGTAAAATATTTTATATTTGCATGCAGAATTTTATTCAGTCGGCCTGCTAATACTAACTAAATAATCATTATCTCCACCATCGAAATGTTAATTATTACAGAATAGCTCATCAAGAGCTTGATTCGATTATTTAAATATTATGCAGATCCCAGCTATCTAGGCCAGTCTTGTTTCCAGGGGAGACAATCTAATTATGACACAGTGCTGTCTCCTGCATGCTGGTGCCACAGGTCTCAGTCCGTCAGTCATATCTCCCCAAAAGTAAGTGCTCTGTAAACTCCAGGCAGTGATCAGGGAAACTGATACAGCCCGCTTGAGGGTTCCAGGATAGCAGACTGAGCTCAAATATCTGTGCTGCAGGGCACCCCCGGTGTGTGAGAGTTATCACAATGATCTCACAAAGAAAATGGGGCCCCTAGTAATATTGTCAATAATATTCAGGGGACCGGTCTCCCCTCGTAGTTCCAAATATGCCTGCAGTTAGTACATAAAACACATTTATTGATGCATGAAATGTAAAAACCTCCATAAAACCCACCTATCTTTAGGACTAGTTTGAATGACCCAGTAGTTTAGTGGTAAATTAACATACATTAAGTGTTGTAGTCACATTCATATGCATTGACACCCCCTTCTCCAACAGCATTACTTACTAATGAATTGCACTAAGTAAATTATTGAATAGCATTGTTAGAGATGCATGATCTCAATGCATACGTCTCTGACTGCTTGTGTAAATAAATAAGCAAAGGCTGTGATATGTTTTGGCACTATTCTTCATTCTTGGGAAAGATACCAGGCTGGCTTATCTTGATGACTGGCATTTGAATATTTCAGGTTTTTCTCAGTTCTCACGGACATGAATATGCAGGCTGTTTAAACCACAGCAATGTCTTGTACGGATTACACAACCACGATGGAGGCCTCATTCTTGGCTTTCAGCAGAGGGCAGGCTGGTGTTCCACGCCAGCAGTGTGAGCTAGCGTCAGCCAGAGCAGGCTTGGTGAGCCCTCCCGGTGAGAGCAGGCTGCGCACAGCACAGGCCCTGCAGCTGCTGCAGGGGTGTCCCCAGGTGAGGTGCCCCAGAATAGGAGCACATATTCAGACTGATTGATCAACACAGCCCCATTCATCTTCTTTTCCAGGTGGCCAGTAAACTGGAGGCTGACTCACATTGTCGGCTGACCAAGGAGCTACGGGACTTTTCTGCTACGTGTTATCCCTAGTGTAATAATGAGAATTCTGTCTATTTTTAAATCATCTAATAATTTGTGATTGACCTGGGCCTTGTGTAAGAATAGAATGAAAGATACTGTACAAGATACTTTAACCACTGCATTCCCCATGCTTTGACTTTCTAGATATGAGGGTTAAGCTCAAAAGCCTAATTTTCATAAATAGTAGACTGAGGTCAAAGAAGAAAAAGTCTCATCTTCTCAG